CTTAAATTGGCAAAACTCAGCTACTCAAAACTAGCCATTTTGCTGTCAGTTTTTGGCACTGCAATCTCAAGATGCTCAGAGAGTTTCAAAATGAAGCTGAGAGCTGTAAACCCATCCCAGCTGAGAGGGAGAACTTCTTGCAAAGTTTGAAAATCACTAGGATTTAGAAATGTTTAGATTATCTTCTTTCCTGTCTCAACCCACAATTTGTGATACTAGTTTTTTTAGGAGACACTTATCGTTACATCCATAATAGTTTGGATATTATTGAATGCCAATGCTTGCTGCTGTTACCTTTTTGCCAGCTATATACCCTCCAGCTGCTCCAAAACTTTTTGTGAATGTTCCCATCAATACATCAACATCATTAGGATCCATTCCAAAATATTCCACAACTCCTCTTCCTGTAGGGCCAACAGCACCTATGCTGTGGGCTTCGTCCAAGTAGACATAGGCTTTGTATTTTCTCTTTAAGGAAACAACTTCTGGCAAGCGTACAATAGAACCTTCCATGCTAGAAGAACAAGAAAGTTAATGAGAACTGAATACATCTAATGCATGAAACTGTATGAACTGATCCATTATCATGCCAGTATCCCCGAAGCAAATAAAAAATTCTAAAATGGAATCATACAAGCAGTAAAAGAAATAACAAGTAAAATCCAGTTTGTAGGGCATAATTTATGGCTTTTTGGTTACTGTGCTTAACATATTCAAAATATTGGAGTATTTTCTATGGATTTTCTAGAATTTGCATACTCAGTCAAAATTATATATTTTATTTTACATACCTATAAATGCCCTCTACTAGGATAAGAATTTTTTTCCATGCTCTTCGGCTTCGAGGCTGTCCCTGTATTACTGCATCCTTCAAAAGCTTTTCTAAGCTCTGCATATCTAATTTTAAAAATACAGATAATGTGAAATATTGTATCAAATATATATACATATCTATATTACATTTCTACAAACCGCAAATCTATTTTATAACAAATTTAAACCAAGTGTGAGATGCTTAGAAAAACAAACCAAGCTTCTGCATAAAATATTACTATTGTAACTTTTACTATATGGACTGAATCTATTGGTAGTGAAAAAGAAATGTTTTTTCACACTCTTTTAGGAAAAAACAGTTTATTAAATTTGACAGAAATATGAATTTGATATGCTTTAGAGTTATTTGTATCTTGACCCTGCACAGTCACATAAGTTTTCTGATATAAGATCCTTCTAATTAGTGTATAATATCAAGTTACTGATTACAAATTGAAGTATTTCAAAATATCACGCTGTTGCAGCGTGGAGGGACAAAGAAACCAAATAATGCAATAACAAATTTTAATTTCCATTCCATTTGCTTTTAAAAATTAGCATAGTTCCATTCACTGAATCCACACACCATTATTCTGATACAGGAAAAGGTCAAAAGCATCTCAGAATCTATGTCATCAATATAATTTTGATGTTTGATGACATCAAAAGTATCATTCCTATCTTATACATTCATCATCTCCACCAGCAGAAAAATGCTGCTTGATACTAAGGCCACGAACAGTCTTTGAAAGTCTTTGTGCAATGTGTAGGAGCATGTGCAAACTTAAAAAAAAGAAACCTGCTTTGAAAGCTGCAAAGCTAGAGCCCTAAGAGCAGTGGTGGGATTCATATTTTTTTTACTAACGGTTCTGTGGGCGTGGCTTGGTGGGTGTGGCCATGTGACTGGGTGGGCGTGGCTTTTCTTTTCTTTCTTTTTTTTTTGCAGCCACCCCCCAACTATTTTTTGGGCTTTCTGGTCCTCAGAGGAGTCTCTGGGGAGGGGCATTTTTGCTCCCAGAAGGCTCCCCTGGGGCTCAGGAAGAAAAAAAATGGAGTCTGGAGGGGGCACATAACACCCCCCCTAGCTCCGTTTTGGGACCTTCCTGGCCTCAGAGGAGCATCTGGGGGGGCGTTTTTGCTCCCCTAAGGCTCCTCTGAAGCTCAGGAAGGCAAAAAATGGAGGGGGGGGGGCCTGAGCCATTTTTTGCCTTCTTGGGTCTCAGCAAGAGGGATCCCGGCACAGCTGATTGTTGGGAGAAAAAAGAAATACCTCAGGCAAATGTCAGGTGGGCGGGGTGAGTGAGTATCGGGTGGGCGGGGCAAGCAAGCCAGTGGTGACCGGGTGACTAGGTCGTGGGTGTGGCGAGCCAGAACTTACTACCGGTTTGGCGACCCATGCCAAATCCTTGCTACTGGTTCGCCCGATCTGGTGCGAACTGGCTGAATACCACCACTGCCTAAGAGACCATGTACCAGCCTGTTCTCTCCTATTTGTATGCAAAGATCAATTCCTATCAGACTAAACTCCCAGCTGTCCTTCTGACCCTAACTGGACAAGTAGGCTGTCACCTCATCCCAGCAGTATAGGACAAATGTGAGCTTTTGGTTCAGTTTGTACTGAAAACACTGGGATTTAAAATATTTGGGCACTTAACTTCCACCTATTCCTTTTTAACAGAACCTGATGGGCATAGTTGTGGTTTATGCATAAAAATATATATATCTACATAGTTGTCTATGTACATACTTCAGTTGGATTGTGGTTACAAAATTGTTTTCCATCAACACAGTTGTAAGAAATGAGAACTTTATACTTTTACTTGTTAAAACCTGTTTTAATTATCTGATGGTGTACCAGGAAATAAATTTAAATAGGTTGGGAAGAAGTTAAATCAGCTGAAAAATTTTATTTAAGCACTCTTATTTTCATTTTCCACACTCAAGAGATGTCAAGCTATTTCTCTTCATGTCAGGGCAAAGCACCCAAGATCAAATTTTCAGGGCGAAGCAACCAAGACCAAATTTTCAAAATTTCTATTATCAATAATTACCATTCTGTTTAAAGGGAATTCTCTATGTGGAAGAGTTTTCTTGTCATCCTTAACACTGCAAAACCATTGAGTTCCTCTCTTTTTTAAAAAATAAAGTGTATTAGATTTTTAAAAAAACTGACAAGAACTAATACCTAGGATGAATAAGGAGGAAAAAAGAAAGAAGGAAAGACCAAAGCCAAAACTATCGGAAATCAAAATAATAAAAAAAAGATTGCAGAAGGCGGAGCCTCCTCGCTGATGGACCGTAGATCGTGACTCTCTGTGGCTATGGTCCGTGCTTTTTCGTTGGAGAGCCCCGATTATTACAATTAGGGGCTGAAGCTGCCTTGGAGGGGCGGCAGAGTAAGGGGAAGCCGCAAGCCAGGTTGAGGGGAGCTGCATCTCCCCCCCCGGTCTTGGTCTTTTCCCCCCTGAAGACGACTGCAGCGATGGTTTAAAATGGCCACCCTGAAGAGGAGGACTCAGCTGGATTAATATTTGTGCAGGAGGGAAGAAAGAGGTGGATAACATCTGAACCGGGACAACTGGGCAATACAACTAAACAAAAGTACCCCGGGCTTAAGGTAACATGGAATTTTTAAGAAAAGAAAAGTGAGCGGCGAAATTAAAAAGGGACAGGAAAAAAAAAAAAGAAAACATTTTTGACAGCTAAGTGGGCCTTCGAACCGGGAAAGGAAAAAGCCGGAACTAAAGATTTAACTAAATTGGACAAAAATATTTTGGCAATAAACAGGCATAAAATAAAGCTGGACTTAAGATTGTCAAAAAATAATAATAATAAAGTTTACAAATTGGAGACTGGACTGTGCTGGAATATTGAGGTTCGAAAAACCCTAAATGAAAAATAGGGGGAAAAGGTGAAGACTTTGTATAATGGAGAGTGCCACCTTTTGACAAAAACTTGAGCTCAAACAAAAAGGAAAACATCTTGTTTCTGAATGAACTTGTGTGGATATAACATTAAAGAAATATTGAAACAAAGTAAGAATCTTAGAAAGTGAAAGCAGAACCAGAATAAAGAAAAAAAGCAAGGAAAGACTGTGGGATTGATTGATGTTTTTAGCATAGACCCTGGGCTGGAATAATTGAGAACTTTAGAAAATTGAAAGAAGAAAGAAGGAAAGTAAAAGTGGTTGTTTTTTTTTTTGTGGACTTTAAAGATCATAAAATATAAGAGTGTGTAATGATGATATCTCTTCGGGAATTAAAAATGGAACTTAAAAATATGAGAGAATTACTACAGGAAAGAGGCGAATCACTTTGCTCTGTGTTAGAAAAAATGGAAATGGCGATTGAAGAAGAAGAAGAAAGAGCTTCAGAGGAGGAGTCGATTCAAGGAGAAGACATTTTAAATAGACAATTAACACAAAGAACACTACAAAGAAGTGGGGAAAGAAGGAAGGTTAAAAAGTTGAGATTTAAGAAGGCCAATCAAAAGGGGGGAATACCTGTGAAGTCGGGAAAGGCAGAAAGACCCAGCAGAAAAGGGGAAAGGAAGATATTAAGAAAGAGATGGATATAAACTGGAATGAGAAAAGATATGGGGAAAAGAGGGGGAGGAGAAGCAGTAAGAAACAGGTGCATGAAATAAAGAAATACGGAAAGAGTAAAATGTTGAAAAGAAATTGGTTTTTCAGAGATAATGGTTGATGAATTAAAAAGAGGATTCTGCAGGGTGACAAGGGGTAATAAGAATATTTCTGCAAATAAAAATATTTAGAAAATAGGGTAATATAGATACTGATAACTCTTATTAAAAATTAAGGGGGGAAAATATGCTGCGGAATCCAAATGAAAAGATGTAATGATTATTATTGTAACTTCTTAAAAATAATGGTTTATTGGGAATCAAGATGAGGGAATAAAGGTATATTTTAATCATTGAGGTGTCACACTCAAAACAGTAAAAGGGGAGAAACCTATACTTGTTTTTTTTTCTTTAGTGTTAAATTTTGTATTAATCTAGAATTTATAAAAAGAATGTGTAATGGAAAGGGAATATGACAGACTAAAGAACCAACTAAATTAATAAGTTAATATAGACTATTAAAAGCAAGGAGAGACATTGGTAACCTTTTTTATTATCATTATTATTATTATTAGGCAAACACATATTGTTTATCTTTATTTTTAAAATAAATATTAAAGGATTATATTTGAAATCATTGAAATGAAACAAAAAGATGTTTTGTTTGAGATTAATGAAAGAGGCTAGAATTAATGTGTTTGGTTCTCTCCTTACTGAAAATTTGGAATGGAAAAGGTAATAATAGAATTAAGTATGCATATATGAATGTATAATTGCTGTCATATTTGTATGTAAAGGTGATGACCCGGAAATATGTTGTCCACTAAAAAGAGATTTTTGTTTTTAATGCGAAAAACTGAATAAAATTTGTTTATTTTTTTTTAAAAAAAAAGATTATAAATAAGTGACTTCCAGATTTCTTTTATAGTTGCTAAAAGTATAGATATTATTTATTTATTTATTTGTTTGTTTGTATCATGCCTTACTTGTAAAAATAATAAAGGCAGGATATAGATAAATAAAATAAAATAAGCAATTAAATTACATCTATATTTATAACAAGTGTAAAAGGCAATTGGAAGTCACTTCTTCAATAACTGAAGTTGGCTAACATAGCTACTACTCCTTCCTTCTCCTATTTTCCCCACAACAACAACCCTGTGAGGTGAGTTGGGCTGAGAGAAAGTGACTGGCCCAATGTCACCCAGCCGGCTTTCATGATTAAAGTAGGACTTGAATTCCTGGACTCTTGCTTTCTAGCCTGTGACTTAACCACTAGACCAAACTGGCTATTTTATGGTTACAGCATTGTTTATATTTTCCTGTAATTATAATTTTTATTCTAATTATCAAATCCATATATTATGTTTTCATTTTCCCCACACCAAAAGTCAATAATGGGTTTCCAATCATCATCCTCAATGGTGAAATCAAGGCAAAGAGGAAGATTAATTCTATTTTAAATAGTCATAAGACTACAACATGTGTGTCAAACTTGCCATATCACATTGCCGTCACGTTACGTGGCGTGTTGCTTTTTCCTTTCATGGAGCTGGGGTGGGCATGGCCTGTGCATGATGCATATGGCCCACGGGCCACCAGTTTCACACCCTTGGACTACAACATTTGAATGTTGTAAGATTGGTTTTGCTGTGACTTGTGTTGCTTTTGGTTGAAACGAACAGCTTAGAAAAGTATCCTGTCTATTGCTTCAATATTTCTCATTCTGAGGGTTAAGATGAATTATCTTCAGAACTATTCATTGCTTAATTTAAATAGTATCCCTAGATCAGTTTATTGCAGTTCAGTAATACAATACTGCTGTCATAGAAGTCACAGAAATAATATTGCAGAATAATAAAAATATGTTTTCCACATCCAGTATATATTGGTGAAAACACTGCTCAATTGAATCTTCAGATTTACAATAGTTCTAATTATGATAAATGCCAACATGTTTAAGCATTTAAATGAAAAGGGATTGTGATATAAACTTTTTTTGACTAGAAACTAACCAAGCATCTTAAGGTTGAAAATACACAAAAACTGCACTAAGATTTTACAAAGGTAATAGTTTAATCAATTTTCCATCCAGTGAAGTGGTTTCTGTTGAATTAGGAAGGAGTTTTTGGTTTTAGTTCAACATTTACCAAATGTATAGTTAGGCTTAGCAGACACTGTGCAGACTTCTGATTAGATAACAGCCGCGTGGGGAAAATGGTTAAAAGTAACAGCAGTATCGGTATCTGAATCATATCTCTAGCATTTGCTCAGATCTTGAACATAGTGGCCTGATTTGATTCCAAAGTTAAATCATAACCTAATGCTACAAAAAGTTGGTTTAGCCTCAGATAGACTTTTTCTATATTAACTTTATCCTTCTTAACTGTTGGTGGTGTTTTAATTTTTTTCAAAGAGGAAGAAAAACTAAGCAATAAACATGAAATGAATTCGCATTTGGAGGCTCCCATGAAAACATGACAGAAAAGGATCCTTGTGTCAAATTTTAGAGACATCTTTAAGGTTACTCTTTTGTACCTTTCTCTATCAACACGAGAGTTAAAAGAAACTGTAATACAGACAAGATTAGTTAGTCTTATACAAATGTAAAACCAGAATCTTACAAACCAGAATCAAATTTCACAGTGGTAACTTGAGGCCTCTTTCCATGAAAATCAAAAAGGGGTTTCTTTCATATTAAAAGTATGAACACATTATTTCCAAAAAGAGACAGTTACACACATGAATTTCACTTTTTTCATCAGTTAGCTAAAGCTGCCACATTAATACTCACTGTTGTGCTTAAAGACTCTAATAGTAGCACCTGACAGCCTTGCACCAAGAACAAGTGAAGTATGGTTCAACTCATCACTTAAAATTAGACAACCCTGTGGAAATACATAAGCAAAGAATTACAATAAACATCCAACTAATATATTACAATAAATTAAGCAAGCAAACAAACAAGAATAGTTTGCCTTATTTAACCTCATTGTAAACATCACCAGCTATTAAAAATAGTAAATAAAAACCCAAGGAACCTAAGGAAAATACACTACAGATTCTTCTTTCCCTCTCTCCCTCTCAAAAATGAATTAAAAGAAATCATGCCTTAAAACATTATAATAAAATCAGAAGAATAAAATCAACACAAATTAATATTTGTAACTAACACACACACACACACACGTGTATAATTTTATTTAAAATTTTGATTATGAATAAAATAGAATGCAAAGTGAACTTAAAAAGAATAGAAGGAATAAGATATACAAAGACAAAGGGGATAAAAAGAAAAAAAAGGATAAAGAAAGAAAAGAAATATATATTAAAAAAAATTCCAACTTTCATCATAGGTATGCAAAAATTTAGTAACTCTTCACCCCTTCTAACATTGCAAACTATTGTTTCTTCACCCCATCCGTTGTTTATAGACAAATACATAAGACATCTTTTCAGTCCTAATGTATGTCAGTAAAAAATCCCCAAGGATTGCCAGAAGCAATCTCTTGTTTCAACCCTGATTAAAATAATGAAATATTCCTTCCTTTTACTGATAACAATCTGTAGTTGATTCAGATATTGTCCTAGGGTTTGACTTCTTTTAATTTCTTATTTGTCTCATCACACAGTGTTCTTCAAGGCTTTGACACATCTCCTTTGAAAGTCCAATAGGAAAAAATGGTCTAGGTCAGTCTCTAGGTTTATCATTTGTGTTTCCCTTTTAAATGTTAAAACATTAGCCAAATTCTTTGCAGATCCAGTGAAACATCCTTCTGCAAGATATTCACTGTCATTTATAAATCCAGTTTTTGTCTTGTCAGATCAAATTTGTTCTAGATCTGGCATTTCTTCAATAACATATTTGGGATGTATTCTATGCATAGAAGCAGACATTATTATTGACATTGTTCATATTGTGGTTCTAATTTTTAATTTCATTCTTCAAAATACTCATTCAGCATTTTATAGGCTTGTATTTTTACGGTTCCAAAAATCTTTAGTCCCCTCTAGTGTCCAGTTTTTAAATCATGAAATTATTTATCTCTATTGTGTCTTCCAAAAACCAAAACAGATCTATTTCTCATGAGAAGCTGTTAGTTCTTCATAATTAATTCCAAAATCCTATTCTAAAAGTTTAAATATTCCAAATTTATCAGGATCCTTAGTCCATTTATAACTTGTTAAGATCAAAATCTTCTTTACCTTTTACCTACTTATTTCAGATTCTTTAAACTCTTATAATTAAAATTGTCTTTTGTTCAGGATAGAAGGCAAACTCATTCCATGTTTTCAAATTTGTCAGTCTGAAAGTCTCCAAAAACATAGAAGCAGTTAATGAGCAATTTCAAAAAAAAAAAAAAAAAAAAAGATTATTAGCAAGTGAGATTAGCGAATGTAGGCACAGGTTGCGGGGTTGCAAACAAGATGGCTATAGATGTCACCTCCCAGCATTCAAACCAGTAAGATATAGCTCTCTTATAGTCTTGTTCTAAGAGTGGCTGCCTGAGACACAGGTAGGTTATCTCCCAACCTCTCTTTCTCCAGAGAGATTTTGAAGAACTTGTCTACTCGTCAGCTCTACATTCTTCATGGCAGTCTTCGTTTTCATGGAGACATCTTCAATTCCCCCATTCTTCCCCTGGAAGCCAAGGTTATTCAGCTGGCATATAGCTTAACTAATGATAGATGTTGACATAATACTGTAATATTTACTATTTTAGAGATTCTTTTGGTAAAACTGGTAAATATGAAGGAGTGATTTAATTTGGTACCTGAAAAGGAGTTAATAGTAGAGAAGCCAGATTTCCCCCCCACCAATTAAATTAAAGTTGCTATCCAACCATGTCAATCATAAGAATGTTTTTTTAATCCATCTGCATTTTGATCACATGACCATGAGGATGCTGCAACAGTTATAAGTGTGAAAACTATCATAAGTCATTTTTTTCAGTGCCCCTGCAACTTTGAACAGTCATTAAATGAACTGTTGTAAGTCGAGGACTATCTGTATTTGTTACAGATCTGAGAAGAATTAACTGAAGCTTCAAAATCAAAATCCTATGCTCATAAAAGAAATTGAAGAAAATGGATGAAATCTGTATTAATTAGTAATAATTTAGGAATTAGAACATTCATTAATATTTCAGATTTCTTCTACTACTGTATAGCCGTATTTTTGTCTGAAATGTGTCAAATAACTTTAGCATGATCCTTATTAAAACTCATATTTCCTTTTTTGGCTATATCCCTACATTTGGAATTTATCAAGGCATTAAGAATGATGGGTTGTTCTTGCAGAGGAGTAGTAAAACAGCAACAGCATAACACTAAAAGAACCTCCTGATTTGCCACCATGGAGTACTGAGAATGGGCGTTGGTAAATTTACCTGAGAACGCCCTTTCTATCTATGCTGCTAGAGAGCCCAGGATGGGTATGACTCCTCTTGATGACATCATCAAGCTGGGTCTGTCTAGTATAAAAGTAGCAGCCTGTGGGAGAAACCCCCCAGCTTTGGCGAAGATACTTGACAGACTTTAGTGAGTGTCTGAAAGCCAAAACAGAATCGTGAACCAAAACATACCTCACCACAA